CTGTAAAAAGGTATTGACTAACTGATTCTTTAATATATGATAATCATACTGCCCTTATAAAATGTGTTTAATCAAATTTTCGATATAACAATTAATTTCAATAGAAAATTACTGTCACATTTCTTTTCCTATTTCAAACTTTTACTCTCCGCGAATGTGTTAATATAATATCTGATTTTTGGAGTTTATTAGAAATTGATAAATTGCCTGCTAGCTGAATGCGAATTATTGACAAGATTTATTCAGAAGAAATTATATCAGAAAAAAATTGGATTTCGAATCATCGAAGTAAATTTACACGTAAGAGGTATTGTGAAATTAACATATTCGCGGACGTGAATGCTGTAACATTCAATTTCATTATGATCTTGAATAACGTGAATGCTATAACATTGAAATTTTTAATTATTATTTTATATAACTTTAAGTTTTTTTTTAAATTATTATACCTGTAAAGGTAATGATTCTTTAATATATGATATTCTAACTGCCCTTATAAAATGTGTTCAATCAAATTTTCGATATAACAATTAATTTCAATAAAAAATTACTCTCACATTTCTTTTCCTACTTCAAACTTTTACTTTTCGCTAACGTGTTTTAATTTTAGAATAAACGTTCCTCGCAACAAATATACATTGTCTTTGTCAGTCATTGTTATACCACACGTCGCCATCTCTTCCTATCTACGCCCAACAGCAGCGGTACTCCGCACAGATAATCAATAGATGCGCAGCACCGTCATGCTGCTTTGGCCTGTGAATATCAAAGCTCAAAGGGCAACAAAAATTCTCGACTTAAAGACATTCTTCTTAGGGATACGGAAAAATGGGTGGGTGGATGGTAGGAGGGAATGCAGGGGGTGGGTCAATATAGGAAAGGGTATATATTATTATTATTATTAAAACTTATATCGAAAAACCTTGCCAACGAGTAATAAATCAAAATATCTGTATATCTCATCTGACCGAAAAGATTTGACATTGTAACCGAAAAGATTTACTTACTTCTTCTTTATTTTAATTTGTTTTTTTTTTTTGTTCTTTTTTATAGTTCTGGGCCGCTTACGTTCCCTGCGATGCGGCACAGCTTAACGCTGTTCAACTTTCTCTCGAACAAATCGACGTAATTCGTCGACTAGCCGAAATGAATGCTCAACATTTAACTCTGGTTACTTCTGTCAAAGGTGAGAGGATTTGATATTAATATTTAAAAATAAAAAACAAGGACGAAAACAATTCAGTTGAAATATATTTGCAGGTATATCTTGATAATTGATATGGTAAAAATAAAAAGGAATTTTTTAATTTGATCTTGTGTCGGTGTTTGTTTTGTTTTGTTTTTTTCCTCTTTCTAAAAAGGACGTTCGATAAAATTCTTTTGACCAACGATGACAAAGTTTAAATATTTGTTAAAGGGGAAACATCAAACGATTCTGAACAAAAAAAAAAAACATTCTTTCAGTAATACGCGTATAAATCGAAATCTGTGTTGCCAGAATTTTGTATATTTCCGAATATATCTAAAAAAAAAAAGATCAAACAAATATTTTGATTGCAAGGTAAAGAAAAATGAATGGAAAATTGTTTCGTTTTTATTTGCAGGCCTGATCGAGGCACATCGCGACGGAAAAATTGCAAGTCTGATCGGAGTCGAAGGTGGTCATTCACTTGGGAATTCCTTAGGTGTTCTCAGAACATTTTACGGCCTGGGGGCACGATATCTTACTTTGACGCATGCCTGTGACACTTCCTGGTGAGTCTGTGTGTGTCATCTCTTTATCCTTTTTTTCTTTTCTCACTTTAGTTTTCAATTTTTCTTTAAATATACCAAATATTCTACCTTAAATTCAAGATTTTTAATATCCTTTACGTATATCTAAAACGTAATCTGTTTTTTTCGCGAATTGTGATTTATACAAAAAAAATTTATAATAAAATTTGATTATTTATTAATTAATCTCGGATACGCGATTTTGACTTTTATAAATGTCTTGCTTCAATGATAACATTTTCTTTTGAAATATATTTGAAATTAAAGTAAAACAACCCCCCCACCTTCATGATATGAAATATTTCATTAAAATAAAAACACTTTTTCGCGAGTATATATATATATATATACACGTGACATGAAAAAGTCATAGAGTGAAAATAAAAGAGACACGTTTAATCGATTGAAAAAAAAAGAAAATAATAAAAATAGAAAAAAAAGAGACGACTAATGGAAGAAAAACAAAGAGGAATATTCTAACGGATATTTTCTTGGCAGGGCAGTATGTTCAGTTGGCGAGATGAATAACACTCAGGATGAGACACCTGGGCTCAGCGAATTTGGAAAGGTAAATCATTTATTTAACCCGTCCCCTCTTTCATATGTCGCAATGATTTCCAAGCGTTTTACATTTCATTTCTTTTTATACTACTACTATTACTACTCCTCCTCTTACCCAAATTTTTATGCATTTACGTTAAACATCATATATGTATGCATTTTTTTTTCTTTTTTTTTTTTTTTTTTTTTT